ACTGATTCTGCTAGCATACATGCTAAAAACATTAGACTTAGCCTTACTCACTCTTCCCTCTACACATTTAGAGCACCAAGTTGCAATGGTAGAGTCCCATGACGTCTCAATCAGTGCATTTACTGCTCTCTTTCTTCACAGTTATCACATTTGTCACTTTAAACCACTGCAATCATCTCAAATAACTCCACCTAGACAGGCCTACAGTTAGCACCATGCTAATTAGCGTATATAAGCTTCTTTAGCTACATTAGCCTTGTAGCTCCAGTGCTACAACTATAGATGTAAACTTCAGACACCAAACATGTCTTGACTGATCAACTAAACTGAGATAAAAGAGGGTGGAAACTGTACAAGTCTGATTTTGCACCAAACTTTCTCTTAAGGGACAACAAAAAAACTTGTGTCGAGCAGCAGTTCACACTCGATTGACAGGTATTGATCTCAGACGAGGAACGTGTTCACACGCTCACCTCCCTGTTAAAAATAGCCAAGCAATTACTTCACACCACCCTTTAATTTTCAGCACGCCAAACACAAGAGGCCTGAGCAGAGCAGGGCACGGCCAGGGTTCACGGGTGTCGAGCGCGGTTCTGCCGTTTGAGGACTTCTCCTTCTGCCTCCAGGCTCAAGGAGCGAAGAAGAGTTCATCATGATTCATAATAACAGGGAGAAAGAACAGCCTACAGGCTGTATCCTATAAAGTGGCTGCGCAGTTATGAAATACCAAGAAATGCAAAACCACAGCTATCTAAAATGGAAAGCCCTTGTCTGCGATGACACATACAGAGAAGCCTATTTTGCTGCCGTTGCGTGGCAACCGCCTACCACGCAGAAGCAAGAATCAAAAGGATAAGTGACTAAGAGCTTGTCATATTCGCGAAAAAAAGCAAAAGAGCCTCAGATCCAACTGCCTCAACTGGCCTGAAGTTTCGTCGTGTTTCAAAATAAGAATGCAAAATAAAGCCTCGCAGTCAGCGAACAAGAACACGGTGCGTCTACTGAGGATTATTATGTCTCCGTTTGGGCCAAATATGGCAGCTGGCCTGATTAGACTTGGTCTTGAGACATCAGGGACGACAAGCATAAGACTCCAGGGTCACTAAAAGTGCTCAAGGAGGATCACTGTGCATATATCAGCCTGAAAACATAACTAAATGATTAATAAACAAAAGCAGCTCCCGGTTATCTTCTCAAAAAAGACAGATCCCGCTGAGCTGGAGGCTTAAAGTGATAGTCTGTCAATAAAAAAGGAACATTATTACCGCCTTAGTCCAAATGTAGTCAGCCAAGATGTGTTTGGCGTCTGAAGTTCGCCTCTGTGGTTTTGCACTGGAGCTACTAGGCATGCTAATTAGCATGGTGCTACCTATGTTCCTAAATCAGACTCGTTTTGAACTGTGTGGAGCTGTTCAGTATCTCTGATAGACTTAATTATGTGGTTTCTGACACTGTATCACACACTGTTATCTATAAAATTGGACCAAAGTACGTTAACATAGCCAAACACAGCAGTAGCATCAACTTTCTATCAGCCTCGTAGCTCCAGTATAAAACTGAAGAAGGAAACTTCAGACACCAAACATGTCTAGGCTGGTTAATTATACTTAGACTTACCCGAGTTACCCAAAGGTATCGCTTCAAAATGCTGTACTGTTCTGTTTTAGGGATACTGAATGATAATTTTTCCATTTTAGGTACTGTTTCCCACAGTACACTCATTCATATCTCGAAATAATACAATGACCAAGCCTTTAGACCAGCATATTCACAGTAACTACGGAAATTCCACAAATATTTCCTGTAATCTAAATGGCTTTAGACTTAGCTAGTAAATGATTCACATCAGTCGACATAAATCACCGTAAAAACGGCACAATCTTTATGGGCAGAGAAGAGATGCGTCATTGTGCCACCTAACCAACCTAACGTCAAATATTTACCACAGGTTTACCTGTACACATAACGTTATCTATACATAATGTTACACGTATACACCCAAGCCTAGTACTGTTATTAATATATGATACAGTTAGTTCGATTCTAATTCTGAAAAACTGTGTTTCTATTCGACTATGACTGTCTTTTGGCAGGGAAACATTAAAACAGTAAAAGGAAACATCAGTAGAGAAAGCAGTGGTGAACCATGAGTATTTAAACGAGGCCTCAGTTTGGACCATAAATGTCAAAACTCAGTCAGAAACGAGGAAAAACGTTTATGATGAGGCTACTTTCTGCTAGCACCCCTATGGGACTCTAGTAGTATGTTAGCTAGCGGTGATTCACATGAACTATTTTTGGCTGTTCTGAATTAAACCGACATCTGAAGCTTGTAAAAAACATCCTGTATGTTTTATTCTGAAGTTTTGTACAGACATTTTTTCTATATATTGTACCTAGTAGCAGTTCAGTAAAGAGTCCTGTCTTACAGCTTCCACCACTGTTTTCCATTCCTAGCAACCACCTGAAATGTGGTTAGACTGAGACTCATACTCATATGCCAGTGACATATCTAGAACTTCCCGAAGACCAGTATTCTAGACAATTATTACACCCATCCACCTGTTACAACATTGTCAATACTATACATTATGATGTAAACTAGCCATAGACATTTACTCAACCTTTTAACATGAATGTACCACATGACTCATTTGCAGACCACATCCTACACATGCATTCAAGTTACTAATTAGGGATACACAATAACATCTTAATATCAGTATCAGCAGATTATGGCTTAAAATATTACACGGGAAATATTTGACCGATAATTCAAACCAACTTCAAGAAGAAAAGAGCAGAGTGTTCAAACGAAACCAGTTAATTTTACCGCGTTTGTAAATTTACATAAATAAATGTTATTTCTCTGTAATGCTAACTCAGCTACATTTTATAAACATTTGCCTATCAGCATCAACATAATCAGACATGCACAATAAAAATGTCAGATGTTAATTCTCATATCGGTACATTCCCATATAATTATAGATTAATACCATTAATAAATGTTAAATGTGTACAATTTGTTATTGTTATTACTGTATTGCATTATAATACGAACTAATCAAAGCCAGCCATTCAATATATTAGCATTATCGAATTATAGTTTATAGTTTACACCCCCACACTCCACCTATTAACCTTAATGTACTGTTAAACACATTAGATGCCCACACTGCACATTAACTACATTAACCTTTTATAACATTGTTAATATATTAAATAATGATGCTAACTATTCACCCATACTCTTATTAATCTTTTAATTAAGACTTATTAATGTCAATATACTGTATTACACATTAGAAGCCCATACTACTCATTAGCTAACAACTTTTAGAATATTGTTAATACAGTATGTAACGATGCTAACTATTCAATATATGCACACTTGACTTATTAAACGTTAATATACTGTATTACACATTAAATGCCAACACTACACAGTCACTAACAACATTAACCGGTTATAACATTCTTAATACATTAGGTAATCTTAACTAATCAAACACGCCCACACTCAACTTATTAAACGTTAATATACTGTATTACACATTAGACGCTGACACTACACATTAACTAACAACATAAACCGTTTGTAACACTGTTATAACATAGTACAATGACAAATATACCCACACTCAACTTATTAACCATAATATACAGTTTTACACGTTGATTTCCATACTTCACATCAGCTGACTACACTTAACCTTTTATTACATTGTAATACATTATATAATTATGTTAACTACACCCATGCTCAACTTATTAAACATTAATATACTGTATTACACATGAGATGCCTACATTACAAATTAACTAACAACATGAACTGTTTATAACACTCTTATAGCATAATACAAATATGCCCACACTCGACTTATTAACCGTAATATACAGTACTGCACTTTAGACTTTCATACTACACATTAGCTAACTACACTTAACCTGTTATAACCTTGTAATACATTATGTAATGGTGTTAACCATTCAAACACGGCCACACTCGACTTATTAAACGTTAATATACCGTATTACACATTAGACACCCACACTACACATTAACTTGACAACACAAAGCATTTATAACGCTGTTATAACATAATATAATGGCAAGTACGCCCACACTCAAGTTATTAACCGTAATATACAGTTTTACACATTCGACTTCCATATTACACATTAGCTAACTACACTTAACCTTTTATAACACTGTAATACATTACATAATGATGGTAACCATTCAAACACGCCCACACTTGACTTATTAAACATTAATATACTGTATTACACATTAGACACCGACACTATACGTTAACTAACACAAACCTTTTATAACACTGTTATAACATACTACAATGACCAATTTGCCCACACTCAACTTATTACCATATACAACACATTAGACTTCCATACTACACATTGCTTAACTACACTTAACCTTTTATAACACTGTAATACATTACATAATGATGGTAACCATTTAAACACGCCCACACTCGACTTATTAAGCGTTATTATGCCATATTACACTTTAGACACCGACACTACACATCAACTAACACAAAGCTTTTATAATACTATATTTATAATACTGTTATAACATACTACAATGAACAATATGCCCACACTCAAGTTATTAACCGTCAAATATAACATTATACATTAGACTTCCATACTACACATTGCTTAACTACACTTAACCTTTTATACCACTGTAATACATTATATAATGATGGTAACCATTCAAACACGCCCACACTCGACTTATTAAGCGTTATTATGCCGTATTACACATTAGACACACGTATTAGAGCGATAAGTCCAGTGATAAGGCTGTAGGCCCGGTTTCTCTGCTCATTCAGAGCTGCTTCAGTGTGAATGTGATTGTGATGGTTATCCCTGGTGAAGCAGCTCTGAGTGGACTTGGTGCAGTAGCGTTATGTAAATGAGCTCCATTAACGGCGAGGATGTGATAATAAAGTGAATCTCACCACTTGGTATCGGCTGGCCGCCTGCTCCATGACCTCCTCCTCCTCCGGCCGGAGCAGCAGTGACGGACAGAGAGAGAGAGAGAAATAAATAAGCAGATAAATAAATAGGAGGAGGACGGGGCTGCGGGGTTTACTGTGTTTACAGCCCGAGTCTAAACGGAGCCGCTCTCTGTCTGTCTGTCTGTCTGTCTGTCTGTCTCTCTCTCAGATATTCAGAGAGTTCACAGCGCTCAGTCAGTCTGTTCGCCCCATTTACACTCAGCACAGTTTCAGACTCTCTCTCTGTTCCTCTTTGTCTCTCTCTCTCTCTCTCTCTCTCTCTCTCTCTGATCGGAGAGGAGCTCTCACTGCGCCAACACAGCGACGATGGCAACTGCACCGGAAACTCCCTTTCAAAATAAAAGTCTCCAGAGAAGCACACTAAGGGAGCGTTTCAAACCAAACCACTAGCTCCCTAAATTTGATTTGAACAATTCACACGGAAAAAATAAAGAAATAAGAGTAAACGAATAAATTACATTTTACAATAAATATAAGATAACAGAAGACAGTTTCAGATCACTGCAGAACAGGGTAAAGATAAGAGCCGATGCCTTAATCCTGGACTTATGAATGTGAAATTGACCCATTTAGATTAAGACGTTCACAAGCTCATCTATTCTAGTTGAATTAGTATCACAGTTTAGGAACAAGTTCATTATCTCATAGGAATTCATGACCGCAAGGATAGGAATAAAGGTATTTTGAAAACATGCAGTTATAAAATATAGTGAAAAAATACAGTGATATATATTTTATTTTATTTATTTACATTTTTTGCACAGAGTGCATTGTGGTTATACATCAGTCTTATATCAGTTTTAAAGTTGTTAAGCAGAATTTTGCATAGATAAAAACTATGTACTGAATTTATCCAACCCCATCATCTCTGTGGAGAGCAGAGGTCATTTCTTTTTAATTGAAAATAACCTGCTTTAATGGAACAGTGACGTTCTTTTGTTATGTATTTTGTATCTAACAGATCTACAGCACAAATAGTACGTTTCCAAACTTCTCTAATAGAAGGATTACAAAGAGCTCTTAGAAGGTAAAGTAGTTTTCGATTTCGTGCTTTATTGAATGTACAACTACAGGGTGGAGGTCTTACTTAAAAGTGGAATGAAGCCAAAAATGTATGAGAGTGAAAATCTACATTTAAACACACTCAAATATATAACATAAAAAACGTTTTATCAGATAATATTAAAGCTTTCTTCATCCGCTGGTGTGTGATTTGTGCTCTCACACAAACGAACTGGGCAGTTTCACTTCACACTGTTCTGAATTTGGTTCAATGTTTTAATAAAAGCACAAATTCAAACAAACGCAAACTAGAATAGAGAAAAAAAAAACTAAAGCACTCTGATCTGTCACATTTGTAATGAAGACTTCAAAGATCTAAAAGAAAATATAAAGAGCAAAAATGATATTTTTTTCTATAGTGGTGCAAAATAGAACCATATTTCAAAAGGTTCTTCAAATATCCAGCAGCTTTTGCTTCATAGTGAAGAATCATTGTACTACACAGAGAACCTTTTCTCCATTCGAATGATTCTTAGTGTTCACCATTCTACATAGAGCCTGTACTGAAGAACCCGTAAAGAACCACTTTTAGGGGTGTATGTGAAAATAATGAGTTGATCAATTTCAAGATGCGATTTTAAAAAGTAATTGTTTTGACATGATAAGTCAAATTTGCGACATACTGCTGCCAGAACCTGAGAACGAGAGAAGAAAAGACAGACAAAAGAGGCAAACGAGGATAATTAACATAAAGGAACACTTCTCCTCCATTGAACTGTAAACATGACCATTTAAATACAATTTTACTTTGTTTTTACTCTTGATGTGGGTGATATTTAGGGGCCAAGAGCCTGAAAGTACACAATAAACACATAAAGAAGTTCATACAAACTCAAATTAAGGCAATTACTATGAACAGAAACATTGTAGTAAATGTAGGAGATCCTCAAAGATCCACATCCAGGTATTTAACCATTCCTATCGCACACGTTCTTGTATTTTGGAATATGGACTGGGCTGTGGACGGTGACATCAAACAAATGTATGAGAACGCAAGAACACATATGAGTGTGTACCTACTGAGAAACACCCACGCTTTCCAGAAGACGTAGGTGTCTCAGTGAAGGGAGGGAGGATGGGCGAGTGGTGTCAACATTCAGGCCCACACACTCAAAACAGATGGTTCTTCAGAGGTTCTTTAGTGAAAAAAACAATGGTTCTGCGTAAAACCACAAGTTCTACATAGAACCATTCCATGCTTGAATGTTTTACATAGTGAAATGGTTCTTTATACTGATGGAGAATGTGTTATATATGGTTCTATATAGCACTTTTATAGTTACAGGCTTGACATTGTAACAACAGAAGAACCCTTTTGGTGCTATATGGAACCATATATAACACATTCTTCATCAATATAAAGAGCAACTGCACCAGCAAAGAACCATTCAAGCATGAAATGGCTCTGTTTGGAACCTGCAGTTCTACATAGAGCCTTTAACGCCTAAAAGGACCATTGCCTTTACTAGAGAACCCTTGAAGAACCATCTTTTTGAAGTGTGGTATAAACAAAAGCAGTACAAAGGCAAGACGTGTAACGTTTTATCGTCTCAGCTTCGCTGTTCTTTGTAAATACACAATCATTCTGAAAGTGATGCCTAGAATAGGTTCCAAAAAAGTGGAACAGGAGCAGTTTAAGACTGGAAATAAACCTTGAACAGGTGATGCAATCATGATCGGGTATAAACAGAGCATGGAGAGAGAGAAAAGAGGTAAATGAAACCCAGAGAAGGAAGAAGCTCCTGTGGATCGTGAAACTGTGAAGCTGCTTTCAGAGAGGTTCTATTGTGAATAGTCATAAACATAAATGCTGTTGGTGGATGACTCTGAAAAATTACTTCATAATTATAACATCATTACATGCATCCACTGTTGAGGGGTCCATTTAATATGTATTACAACAGGCTATCACTGACCAACACTGTGTAAATAAAAGGCCCAACTTTTACTACCTACCAGTCACATTTTACACTGACCCCTGATAAAAAGAGCTGCCAACCCCAAATATTAGTATTAAAGTTCCTACTGTGAAACAGGTTCAAATATAATGACCACATCCAGCAACCCAAGACAAGTCAATAGTATTACTTTATGATGTTTTTCTATAGTAAATCAATTGATCCACTCACTTCAGAAAAAAACTGCACAATGGCGACATCTTCTGGCCAGCTGTGTGTAAGTGCATCATAAAAAATCAAATCAAAAACCCAGCAATCTTGAAGTCTGTAATAAAGGTGGGCCTTTATAAAGCCATTCTGTAAGTAAGTAGAGAAAGTATTCTAATTGATTTCATGATGTTTAATTTATGTGCAGTGTGTTGCATTAATATAGACTATATAATATTCATATTTACATAAGCCTACTTTTTTTTTTTTATTTCACTTCCTTTATGATAAATATGGCACATCAGGAGATCTGTGACAGCCGATCTGCCTAAATACATAGAAACAAAAATATTCAATATTAAACCCAAATCAAGCCCTTGCCAAAAATATTAAAAATATTGAGTTGACTTGTACTTTACTGTCCGGTTACTTTTCTAAACAGTTATAACCAGTTATACTGCTTCATGTTGAAATACATCCAAAGTGCAGTCATTTTCATGGAGCCCTTAGTCCCTAGATGATGTCCCAGCAAACACACCTCCCACAGGCCTACTGTGGGCAAACCTACACAAAGCCCCCACTGGAGCCTCACTTCTGTTACAGAATGTGACCACAAGTAGCTCATTCAACGCTTTGGACAGACAGTGAAGTCATTCTAACATTAATAACATCTGAACTGGGAAACAACACTGACTGTAACTTTATTATTATCATCATTAATGCTGTTCATTGGATACTGCTTTGCCAACAAATGGCACTGCAAATCAGTCAAGTTCTTTCAAAAGAGACTCAGCAAACCATTTCTTTACTGGCCTTGCTCTCTTCACTGGAGCACAGTCATGTTGAAAGGGTAACTCTAACCACAAAATGGGAAGCCCACAATTCTCCAGAATGTGACAATATACTGTAGCATTAACATCACCCTTCACTGGAACTGAGGGGCCCAAACCCTGAGAAACAGCCCAGCCCATCATCCCTCCTCCACCAAACTCTACTGTTGGCTCTGTGCACTCCGGTAGGTAACGTTCTCCTGGTGTCCACCAAACCCATCATCAGACTGACAGGTAAAGAAGCTGATTCATCACTCCAGAGAACACGTTTCCACTGCTCCAGAGTCCAGTGGCGGCGCTTTACACCACTCCAGCCAACACTTGGCATTGCGCATAGTGATCTTAGGCTTGTGTATAGCTGCTTGGCTGCTATGGCTACCATGAAAACCCAATCCATGAAGCTCATAATGAGCAGTTCCTGTGCTAAAGTTGCTTCCAGTCACTGAGCTCTTTAGTACACTTCATCATACTGTCAGAGTTTGTTTATGAAAACACTGATGTTGAGTCCAGGTGCTGCCCTCAAAGAATATAGGCCACATAGGCCTAAACTTCATGGCGATTTGAATGTATTAAGTAAATAAAGAGTTTTTATAAATCATGCGTGAGAGACAGTTCCACTACTACTACATTCATCATTGATCAGTTTCTGACTAAAGGACTGCTGTTGTCTGTTGTCCAGATATTATTTGATATATGATATATGAGTGGTGGTCCATTCTCAGCACAGCAGAGACACTGACATGGTAGTGTGTGTGGTGCTGGTACGAGTGTATCAGAAACAGCAGTGTTGCTCTGGTTTTGTGTCACTGCTAGGCTAAGAGTGGACCACTACCCACATGGCCTCAACTAGCTATGAGGAGGTTGACCTCGGTAGTTTCAGAAGGGTTTTTTCACGGATCTCCTTTCATGAGACTAAATGTAGAAACAGCACCATTACGATAATACAGTCTAAATACAGTCTACTCAGAGGCACAGCTACAGTATTACAGGCCTACCCAATCAAATGGGGACAGAATATGTATTATGCTTCATATTATACGATAATGATTTTTTTTTTCTGTGAGTGCTGTCACTGTGTTATGGCCATCTGCAAAGCTCCGCCCTATTTTCCTCAACCCTCCAATCACTGCTTAGCAATCGCTGCTATCCGCAGTTGCTTAAGTACATTATCAGCAGCCGCTATGTTCGTAACTAGTCTTAGGACACCAAGGTCCTCAGAAGTTTCGGAGGGTTTTATGAGACTTAATGTGGGAAAAAGTGACAAGAAAAAGTGACGAAACTACACTCTACTCTACACACACACAGCTGAGTAGCTGTGGGTCCGCCACAGACGTAACTGCCTGCTCTATTTATCTCTGTACGAAAGGCTACACAGCCCTGAATACCAGAGTAACTGACTTCTTGAGAAGTTAATGCATGCTGCACACATGCTATAGGCCCTATAGGCCATACATGGCCCTGAGAAACCTTGAGTTTATGATCATAATTAAAAGATTATGCTTTTAAAATGTAAACCTCACAATCATTTTATTATCTGGACTGCTTGTGGTGTTGCTAGCTAAATCAGCATGCTTTATTCTGTCTCTGGTAGCTGCTCAGTTTAGGCTACAGGCTCTGTAGTTGGCTATATTAGCTATTATATGAGAAATTAAAGTTGTATTGTATTACATCTTCATAAAATACTACAACCAGCATGAGAAAGTTCACTGTTAACTAGCATATTGATGGTATAGCATCATGTAGCTAACACACAATGTGGGTGATCTCATTTATTTATGATAAAGATCAACATTTCTGTCCAGAGCCTATTTTCAGACTCTTTAGTAAGGTCATCCTCTTTGAGAGCGGTCATCTAGGAAATAAAAATGTAAAAATATTTCATTAAAAGTGATGACAATATGACTGCAATAATGCCACAAGGTTTTAGGCTGAAGGAAACTTCTAGAACTCTGCAGGGGTTTCCAACCTGATCCTCAGGTCCGGGCAGGCCATTTTACTTCATCTCTATGCGTGTGTTGTGAGTTGGTCAGAGTAAAAATGTGGACCACTGGAATAATGTGTCACATTTCTATCTTTTTTTTTCGCTTTTAGCCCAGGTTTATCGTGTTTGGAGGGTCCCTAAGAAGACGCTGTATGTCCCTTAATATGTTGACAACAACATGTAAAAAAATCTATTTCCCTCATTTTTGATCACAAAAAAAGTCAGTAATGAGCTGTCATCATCACTTCATCCCCATTGGCTGTTATGTCTAAGTGGACTGTGTGGATGACTAAGGGCCTCATTCTATAACAGCACTAGAGGAAAGCAAATAATTCAGTCTGAAAGTTCATTGTTATTGAGGATGTAATGTGCATTGTTTCCAACAGATGGCAGTATTTAACAAATCCAAGTGTAAGGATTTAGATAGCAAAGCTTAACGAGTGACCTTGAACAGCTTCATGTCAAAGATATTGCAAAAACAAACATTACGAATTAAGTCAAACCCATTAGTAGTAGTAGATATTCAGTTATTCATAAAAAGCTACATGCTAGTTTAAATGAGCAGTAAAGAAAATGAAAACCTTATTATGTGTATTTGATTTGATTTTGTGGAATCTTCAAAAGGCTTTAAGGGGCTGTTGGAGGGGGTGCATCAGTAGTGGGCCGTACCAGCTCACCTTGAACAATCTCCTAACCATCTACCTCTCCTATGAATAACCAGGGCTGTCGCTGGACCAGTTTTTGGGAACCTTTAGCCTCCCACATGCCCCACCACCCATAAAATGTACTGTATTAGTTCAAATAGCCAAGAATCTTTCTTCTTCATTCTTCTCTATCAACTGTTTCCAAATTCACAGTCTACTGTGTCATAAGAGGAGAGGGCAGTCCTCTGATATTTAGCACTGAGGAAAAGATTCATACGTCTGTGCCAATCTATAATCACATAATCTCTTCAGTGAAATCACAACACAATTCTGTTAGATTTTTCATATATTTCATCACTATTACTTATTTTTATGGTCTTTTGGTCTGTGCGCACTCCTGAAAGTGCTGTTCATCTGTTCTGACTGGCTAATGCAAATTTGTGAATTGATTATGTGACACATGATTGGCTGGAGTCAGTAAATGACTGACAGTAGCCCCGCCCACTCCCCCGGACTCACAGTCACAGCCACTCACAGTCGCCAGGACTGGTGATACAGTGAGTTAGAAACCGAAAGTAAGTTAAACTGGTGCCGTTCTACACGGAGAGAAGACTTCAGAGACAGGAAGCCTGCAGACACCAGCGCTTTGAGTTCACTCGGTAAGTTCAGACTAACAGAAATGCAGAATATCTGCGTGTAGTTTAAAGCAGGATCACGTTCTAACGTGTTTCACAGATACTGAACTGTCCCTTAACTCAGTGGATCAAACTCGAAGAAACTGTTACAGAATGGCTGCTTACGATTAATAAACATCGAGGTGTTTCTGTGAACTGGATTACATATAATAGTATAAACGGAATGTAAAATATGCTCATATATAATCACGTGTAACGGTTATAATAGTGTGGTTTGTCCGAAATCAGAGCGCATTACTGTTTATGAACGATTTGCAAGTATGACGTCGCACTGATATTGTAAAGGCGTTTTGATGTGTAGTGTGCAACACAACGTGCTGCTTTAGAGCTGTGTTTCTGAGTCCTGCTTCTGTCTGTTATACTGAATAAGAAAGTTTAGAAATATTTCTAATTGTCTATTAAACCAAACTATATATGCAGCTTTAGATGTTTTTTTTATTGTTTTTAAGGTGTTGTTTGGTGCTGTAGGTCACTGACAATAAACTAATTAGCCTAAGAATGAATGTTTTAGCACCCTATGCATACTTTTTTGGCATATATATATATATATATATATATATATATATATATATATATATATATATATATATATATGCCTTAACTATTTGTCTTTGTGCCCCTATAGTAAAAATAATAACGTTTACCATGAGCAACATTTAGTATTTATAGTATAGTACAATTAACCATTAATTAATGCTGTATTTATTCTTCATAATTTTTAAAACATTACTATTTAATGTAATGTTATTCAAACATTGATTTAATTCTAAATTAAATTTTAAATTAATTTGGTGAATGATATAATTTCTGTTACTTAATGTTATAGACTTTAGTTGACATGAGTATGATTTGTATTATAGACTTTAATACATTGGTAATTAGTGATTAGTTCTTGCTCTCCCAATAATATCTAAAATAATATGCTAGTTATCATTTCTACCAGCAGTTAATGATTAATTGAGACATTACTGAAACATTCAGAAATTATAATAATCTACTTAATAAAATCTAAAATAATGTTAATTCTTATTTCTATCGTTAGTTAATTATTAATTAAGAAAAGAGAGAAAAAGACAGAAAGAGAGAGAGAGAGATCATAATTGCGGACAGTTAGAACATTTGAATGAATATATTAACGTGTGTGTGTGTGTGTGTGTGTGTGTGTGTGTGTGTGTGTGTGTGTGTTCCTCTTCTTGTGTGCAGATTCTTGTGAGCTCACTCTGGATCCAAACACAGTACACAGAGAACACTCTCTGTCTGATGAGGACAGAAAGGTGACAAATCTGGGATCTTCACACTCGTATCCTGATCATCCAGAGAGATTTGATGTCTATGGGCAAATTTCGGTGTAGAGAAAGTCTGACTGGACGCTGTTACTGGGAGGCTGAGTGGAGCAGGGGGAGAGGAGCTGAAGTAGCTCTGACATATAAATCAATCCAGAGGAAAGAAGACGGTGCTGACTGCAGGTTTGGACAGAATGTAAAGTCCTGGAGGCTGGACTGCTCTGATAGCAGTTACTCTGTCTATCACAATAATGACAGCACTGCTGTCCAGGCTGCTCCCTCCAGCTCTAATAGAGTAGGAGTGTATGTGGACTGGCCAGGGGGCACTCTGTCCTTCTACAGAGTCTCCCCTGATACACACACACTGACTCACCTATACACATTCAACACCACATTCACTGAACCGCTCTATGCTGGATTTACTCTATGGCGTGATTATCCTGGCTCGTCAGTGCATGTGTGTGAGATAGAATAGCCTCCTATGTGTGTTTGTGTGTCCTCTACACAAACAACTAAAGCTCATGAACATCACAACACACAGTTACAACAAGGAAAACTAGACTGTCACACTCTGTCTCTGTCTATCTCTCTCTCTGTCTCTGTCTCTTAAATTTAATTAAATGGATATGTTTATGGTTTTAACAGCAATAATTAAATAGTTGCAGGCAGCAGTATCATCAGGAGGATCAGTGGCAGGTGTAGCTTTCTGCACAGCATTAAACAGCAGGATGCACCATGGTGGTCAAACTGGTGGTCCTATTAACCCTACAACTGACATATCGCCACAATGTTCTTTATGTGAGTTGGAATTGGCGACTGTCACTCAGAAAAATATAATTAAAAATAGTGAAAATAATAAAAATGTAAAAGTAAGTAAAAGTAAATAAATAAATATCACTGTTTTGTAACTGTATATTGTCAAAGAAAAATCTCCTTACTTTTATTCCTATCCTTGCACAAATTAATTCCTATGAGATATTCTTACTGGGCCACTTTTCACATTCACTATTGTCTACTATTCACTAGACAATATTGTACTATCGTCTAGTGTTAAGGCACTGGATCTTTAGACTGTTCTGTACTATTGTCATTATTGTACTACTGTACTATTGGATTACTGTACTATTGTACAGTACTGTACAATTGTCATTCTGTACTATTGTCATTTATTTATTGTAAAATGTCATTAATTCATTTATTTACTCTTATTTCTTTATGTTTTCTGTGAATTGTTCCTACAATATGCAGTAATTTATAGCTGGTATTGTACCTTTGCCCCTACACATGCTGCTTTAAATAGAAGGGTTTTTTATTAATATGTAAATACAAAGACAGAAATGCTGTCTATAGAAAGGGCTCTTTGGTTTGGTTTGAGCTGCGCCCACAGTGTTCATCTGTGGAGTCTTTTATTTTGAAAGCATGTTTCCGATGACGTTGTTGCACAACGGATAAATCTACCCTGAATGTGGAATTGCAGGCTGCTCCATTGATAGTATATATATACTGGACCCAGTCATCCCACTGTTTTCAATGGGGTCCAGGTGAGGTCAGTCTTCTCACTTCCTGATCAGATTCTCATGCAGAGGTCAGTGGGAATGCATGAGACTGCACAGGCGCCTTAATGACAACTTCTACTGTGCAGTTCAAATTACCACACTGAGTGTGGGAGCTGCCCAGCAATGATCTGTGAATGTGTTGGAGGAACAAAAAGTATCACAACCATTCAGCACTACAGGACACTTTCACCAAATAACTAATTTTTAGTTACTACTTCCTAATAATGATCATTATTAAATAAATAAATAGATAAATAAATGCGTTAATAATGATTATATTAATACTCACTATTTAATCAATTATTTCTTTATTTTGCAATGATAATAATTGTACATAATTTATATAGTATTCATAATTATTATTTTACAATCCAAACAAAGCATAAGTAAAATTAAATTCATTCACTACTGAATAAATACATAAATAATAAAAACAATATATTCATGAAAAAAACACAGTTATTACAATGTCTTTACTCACTCTATGAAATCATGTACTGTGAGTGCCTGTCTCTATTGTTTTTTTTGGTGCACTACACAACATCAAACACTGCATTTTGATTAAATTGCCATTGTTAAGAATTAGTGTTTGCCATGTGTCTTCTTCTACTTCTTCCACTTTTTCTTCGTCTTCTTCTTCTTATTATTATTATTATTATTAATAAACAGTAAAGGGCAGTCTTTCGAGTCACAACTTTTTCACATCATTTTCTATACTGTAACAGAAAAATGAAAAGCTATGAAGTGATTCAAAGTCCTGTGTTGATCAAAGGACAGACAGTCCAGTCTCTCTAGAGGAATACAGGGCCGTATGGTGATCTAAAACAGCTCAAATGAGTCTTTATCATTGGAGACATGCTGAAATGAATGGAAGTCATTGCAGAGCTTCTTTCAAATGGTCCTCTGGCGCCCAACCAGCTTACTTCCAGTGGCAAGAGTTTGAAGGCAAAAGCTGGGGGCCTGGACTGCACAGCTTGCCAGACTGCATCCCTTTGACCATAGCCATTTAAATGACAGCATCATTAAACAGCTCCACTTTTGAGCTCAACCAGACCATTGCAGTGGTGCGTCATTCTGTAGTCCACATTATGCCCATATTAGGAACTCTAGGTCTAAGCTTGATTTCTCCAGAATGAATAGGGTTTTCAAAAATCGCTTTATTGCACCCTGTGATAAGTTAAAATGTCCAGAATCCGATACATTTTGTACTGTGTACATTTTCTCCCACTCATCACTGGATCCTCTAAATTATGAAGTTGTTAAAGAATCTTAATAATAATAATGGTACATGCTAGCTAATGCTACTCTGCATCAATTTGATGTCACTGGACTACACGAAAGCTAGGCAGACTATGGCGCTGTTCCTGACGAGTTTTCCTACCTTATTGAAATGTCCTACCACAGTGCATATTTATAGGAATTTTCATGTTACTCCTGAAAATGATGCAGCAGTTTTGATTAGTTATCACAAACATTGGTAAACGGGTCAAAACAATACTGACATGTTGGTTCTCTGAAACAGCAAAAATAGGTTTAAGTTACTCAGCCGTCTAGCAGAAACAAAGCTATCTGCTCGTTTCATGCTTTTCAACTCTCCATGAAGCTGGTCAGCTACTTTTTTGCCAGCTGCTTATTCGAATTTTCCCGTTCCACCTTAAATGGAGTAACTGCTGCACCATGTAAGGTGGAATGGGGAAATTTGAACAACCAGCTGGAGAGAGAAAATGTCCTCAGAAAATGTTACCAGCATTAAAATAATAATTAGGAGATTTTGTCAGCCTAAATCAGGTTATCAGGGAATAAGCAGTAATATTGAGTCAGTACTGATTTAGCTTGAGTGCAGGTCAGTTTCTAGAGATTTCAGATGAATATGAATATTAGAACAACAGATAACTGCATCATGACCTAAGAGGCAAATCTGCTTTTTTTGTCCTGACTTCTTTTCATCTGCGCTCAGTCGGTATATGGAAGTTCACTACCACACTGTCCAAGCCTGCTGTGTTGCACGGTTTTTAAAAAGTGAAACATTTACTGCTAAACTGTTTTCCTTTATTAACTTTATTTGAATTTACTCATATTGTAAAACAGTCCTTCCAAGATCCAAAATAATTGTCAGAATAAAAAATATCACTACATTTTTGAGCTGCCATATCAACATTTTTCCATAAGACCATAAGATGTGTCAAGAAAAATATATATCATTAAGTTTATACTCCTGTTTCTCTGCTGCTTTAAATTTGGCAGTGCTGCTGTTTGTGCAGTATTACTCATTTTAAGGTACACATTAACAGAACTGTCTGCTCTACACTCTCAGAAAAGAAGATACTGTATATGTACACTTTTTTTCACCAAACTACAATGTAAATACACCCTTAAAGGTGCACTAATGGCCTAAAGGCCCAATTACGTTTCCTAACTAAAGGTCCTGAAGATGTACCCTTGAGACTACCACCCCAGTGACAGTTCAGCACCTTTTATCTGAGAGTGATGTGGTGTGTTGTGTCATCACGTCATAAAATGTGTTAAGGTAGATTGATTTTAAGTCTAAATGTCCTACATATGGCAGTATAAGAGTGTATGTGTGTGACAGAGAGGGGTACACAGCAGGACATGTGATGTGTAAGGGGGTGCAGTGCTGGCAGTTTTGGAACCACTGCTGTAAATGTATTCTGAATATGTTAACTTATTATATATTGTAATGGAATGTGTTACTGAATACATTTAGGACAGTGTGTTCAGTGTTCAGAGGTCACCAGACTGCAGGCAGATTCATCAACCAATCATCTATCAGGATGAGCAAAAGTAAAAAAAAAAAATCTTTAGATAGGCTCAATAGGAAATGATTAAAAATGACATGAAAACTGTCAAGAACAAAATCAGAGACATCCTAACACAGAAAGTAGCAGGTTCTAAGGATAATGAGTCAGGAGAACCAGGAGGGGATCCTTTAACAAATCAACAGAACAATCCTAACTTTCAGCTGTGATCTGCCATTTTTTAGTCCAAATGTACAAAAAAATCAGCTCTTCAGTGTGAGTCGGTTCACCTAAACGAGCTGGTTCAAAGAACCGATTCGTTCGCAAACAACACATCAGTAGGAGGAAGCAAGACTGGTGAGACAGAGAGGAAACGAGAGGGAGGGGTGACGCAGTAAACTCAGCTAAACTCAGTGGAGGATCAGACTTGAACAAGTTACAAAATGGCCGATTACTGAAACACGTAGAGACGAAGACGGGAGATGGCCAAAAATGTATTATGTGAACTGGCCTAAAATACTGTAAACTGAATGTAAAATATGAACGTGTAGTTATTTTAACGGTTATTATTATATGGTTTGTCTGAATTCAGAGCGCTTTACTGTTTGTGTGCGAGTTGTAACTATGGCGTCGATGAAAAAGCACTAAAACTGTAAAAGGCGTGTTGATGTGCAGTAGCGCAGTTTGACCAGCAGAACAGAAACAGACCTCAAGACAACATGCTGCTTTAGAGCTGGGTTTCTCAATCCTGCTCCTGTTTATTATACTGAATAAGAATGTTTAGTAATGTTCTCTTTAATATCCATTTTAATTGCCTGACAGACTAAATCATATATATATATAATTTTAGGTTTTCATATCAAAGGTTTCATATCAGTTTTTCAGGTGTTGTTTTATGCTGTAGGTTACTGACAATAAACTCATCAGCCTAAGAATGAATGTTTTAGCACCCTATGTATATTTTTATGGATGAACTGTTCACAGGGAGCAGCAGCTTCAGCAGCTCCTGAATCCAGCTGTGTATGAAGAGCAACTTCATGATGATGGACACTTCCAATTCCAGCGGTGGAGGAAGACTCTACAAAAGAAAGCGAGTAACTACATCAGCACTTAACATGAAGAAAAAAAAAAGCAAGAGGAAACACAAAAGTTCTTTCAGATTTTCAAACAAAATTGTATGTAAGACAAAGACAGTAAACACAAAATACAATTTTCAAAGTGACATTTAATCTATTGATGGATAATTTCATCCAACAACAGCTGGCCCTATGTGAAAAACTATTCGCCCTCCTTACTAAACCAGATGTAGCTCAATCAGTTTAATCAGGATCAGTTAAACCAGACAAACAGGCTTAATTACTGCCAGCCCTGCTGAATCCAAACATCACATAAACAGATCCTTTCCAGCAATGTGAAGTGTCTCAACTAGCAGCACACACTACACCTTGATCAAGAGAATTTGAGAAAGAGATGAGAAGTAAAGAAGGAATACTGAGTAGCGTTACCAGATGTGTTGCACCTCGAGATAACAGCACACATAAATTTTCTGATCTGTGAAATATTTCACAACTATATTTATGCCTATTAATCCTTTATTAATAAGTTTTGGAGATAAAAAGCTGAACATTTTGAGGGTTTGACTCCGAAATGCTATTTACACTAAAACAGCAAAGAAATTGCATTTGTTTAAGGCATTATCTGATCTGTAAAACTTTCACTAACACAGTTTGGAATTTTTTATGTTTACAGTTCTACTCACATTTTCATGTGTAATAATATAGGTATTCATTTTTGGGGGCGAATACTGAAAAATGCATGTATATAATGCATATAATTAAATAACTGATCAATAACGGTTTGTGAAGTGTTTCACAAATTGAGCTCTGCCAAATCAAACACATTTTCATGGATTTTGATGTCATTTGTATTGAAAAGCACCTGCCAAAGTAAAGAAACAAAAAAACAATAACAACAAACAAACTTATGTTTCATGTTCTCTCGCTTTCCTTTCTCACGGTTTACACAGGCCACAGACAGACAAAATAAGAGCTGTGAAATTTTTCACAAATCAATCATTTTGAGCCTGGTTTCATCTGAGAGCTCAACTTTTGAAGTTTTAAGCTTTAGAAAATAAACTTCTGATGTGTAATATTGGCAGACTTTAGCATGGAAAATTAGGCCATCTGAATTCACAAATCAGGACTAACAAAGCACACAAGTGGATTCATTCAAGAAAAAAAATAATATATGGAATACATTTGGTTTTGTTTAATTTGATAGGTGGTATAGAATTCCTGCTGAGATGTGACTATAAAATTGAAAAATAACCTGTTAATCTCTAAATTTCATAAACAAGCTCTGTTAACTTGAACACTGGCTTATAAGCATAATTTCTCACCTCACAAATGAATGTTCCTATTTCGGAAAAATAGGAACATTCATTTGTTTCAAGAACAAATCTCTTTTTCTAGGTTTGATAATAATATTAGTGAAACAACTCCTGAACGCTGATGGCCTTTTGTTGACGTTGTGAATGTCTTAATAAATTTGGAGAGCCAGTCACAACCAAAAAAATATGCTATAGTTTTTGACACTATACCACAACAAACGGTGCAGCTTCAGCCAACAAGGATAAGGATGTCATAGTGAATAGTCATTATATTAGGATGCCTGATATTCTTAAATATAAATGTACAAACAAATATACATGGAGATTCACTCGAAAGAGGCCCTGAATATTCTGCTGTAACTCCCGTTAGGATGAAGCAATCTGAACCAAAAAAAATACACTACAGACCTTGACATATGTGGAATCGATTGGGTAGGGGGGGTATGCACCCGGAAGTTGCAAACGGAGGTTAAACGTCGCGACGGCTATCAGGCAGGAGCACATTGCACATTGTTTGGTTCAGATTGCTTCGTCGTAGCCAGAGTTACTACAGAATATTCAGGGCCTCTTTCGAATTAACCTCTCTGTTTTAGGAATGTCATATCTAATGAATGATATTTAAATATTGATATTTGTATTGGGGAACATAAATTGGAATAAAGCACAGACTGTTTGCGCTAATTATTGTATGAATAATAAAATAAAGGAAATGACTTTCAAAACTTTGCACACCTTATACCCTGTTAAAGTGTTGTAGAGATGGATGTTTCAGATGTTTTTATTTATTTTTCTGTGGATAGATTGGATTTAAAAGTCTTTCTTTTTGTACAATAATTATTATTGGTAAATATAACTTACATGAGAAGACATGGTCTGAATAAAAGACAAACTTTACACATTTCCTCCATGAGATTAAGGAACATGGCACTATTTAAAAAAATATATATATAAAAAACAAGAAAGCCAAAACTACACCCTTGGCTGATGGTTGTTGAATGTTATGTTGTTGCATACTTCCTACAATAAAAATGCAGCAGTGTTAGCAGATGTACGTTACTACATTCTGGAGTTATAGATGATAGGAGACTGAACTGCTAACGATAAGCGAACTTGACTGCAAAACCACAGGAAATTGCTAAACCGCCCCCGCTTCCTGTTCATCTTGTTCAGAACTGGTGACATGAGAAACGAAAGCAGCTCTAAACTGGCGCTGTTATAAGCAGAAAGAAGATTTTCGATTGGATTCACACGGTAAGTTCATAACTAATAAGAATCTGTGTGTAGTTTAAAGCAAGAAAACGTTTTGCGTGTTTCACAGACACTAAACTGTTCTTTCAGCTGGACGCGGTGGAGGATCAAACAGTCGATATAAATGGGGATAAATACTGTAAACTGAATGTAAAATAGGAACATATATAGTCATATTTACGGTTGATAGTTGTGTGGTTTGTCCGAATTCAGAGCGCTTTACTGTTTGTGTGCGAGTTATAAGTATGACGTCGAAAGAAAAGCACTCAAAAGGCGTGTTGATATGCAGTAGCTTTTTATGACCAGCAGAGGGAGGCTGTCTTAGAGCTGTTTTTCTGGAGTAGGTGTTCGTTTTTACATACCGTGCTGGGTCCAGAAACTGCTTCTCTCCTTCACCGGCAGAATGAGAAGGAATCGAGGAGTAGGAGGAATCAGTAGGAGTAAGAGGAGAACCAGCAGAGATGGGAACAGCTCTCTCCTTACTCCTCTTTCCCCATACAAAAAACCTCTTATATGGCCTTATATGCACGTATATGAATGCAGGCGAGGCATATATTTTAAATGTATGTACATATGTGCTCTACATATGTAAGTATCAAATATTGGATATATTCATTATGTATGAATTTCACGTATATGTCGAATAGTTTTTGTATTTAGTATTTTGTAGTTTTTGTTAATATTTCCATTTATTTAATGTTTGAATGATTCCATTGCCTAACGCACAATGTGCATGTTTTTAGAGTGTAATTACATATCTATTATACTACCTTCGGAAGTATAAAAAACTAATGTAACATTAGGTTAGCACATATTAGTATGCGGTCCGTGTATCTTTTGGTCATTAGATTTTCATTTCAAATCCAGTATTGAAAAACGGTAAAATGGTTCTGTGTAAATCAAGAAATAGCTTCGTTTTACAGTTTCACAAACCATAGAAAGAAAAACAGAAGAAGAATAAAGGGTCATATTTTATTTATGCATATTTAAGAATTTCTACCACTTAAACCGGAGAACAACGTGCAGAGGGCACGTATGGTCGCAGAAGCTGATAAAGACAGGAAAGATCGGGCATGAATGCTGACGATAGGCCTAGTCCTGGGAATTTTTGGGAGACTGTATAACGTTTTTATAGGTGTTTGTCTGAAGCAATATGGGGAAGAGACTCTACAGGACTACTGCCATTTAACAGCGAAGTCAAAGGTAAATGAAAGTCATTTTGCGCAATAATCATGAAAAATGTACACGGTCACATCGTCAGATGTGTTACAGCAGCTGTGTTACAGCCCCAGACTAAGGAATCAAAGCTGTGAGCTGTCCTGTGTTGTTCTTATGGAGCTGCCACTGGCTCTGGTTTTGGGAAAGGGGCTTTAGAGGCCCGTTATGCTGAGCTGCGCCGTGACTGAAGGGACGTTGTTGTGGTTTAATGATGTTAATGTTGTTGTTTGGTTAGTCTAAAATGTACGTGTGTGTTATTCCGTTATTCTGTAGCCTCTCCAGCGTCTCCTTCTTCACCAACACACTCATCATTATGATTGAAACCCATTCAGTTCTCCGAGTGCCGCGCAACAACCAGCGCCTTCGTTACATTACACTAAACTATCACTGTGAGACGGAGACTCTGTGCTGCTCTGCAGTTTCTGAAACCATGCATGCACTCTGCACGTCTAAAATAAAGCTATTTCGTAGTTGTTCCACTGACAGTAATAGAACCAAAAATGAGAACTGCCCTTTTTTCAGTGCTGGTTTCGAAATGAAAATCAATCTACACTCTTAAAAGAAATGTGTTAAAAAATAACACACTCTGTCTCTAACTAGACACATCAGTGTGTTCAGTTGGAGAAAACACATTTTGTGTTACTTTTAACACAAAATGTGTTGAAATATTTCTATAACTTGTTATGGATAACACATTTTGGGTTACTTTAAGCACAGAATGTGTTAAATCAGAAAACAATATGACACAAAAAAGTGTTAAAATGGGGAACACAAGTTAGTGTGTTGTTATTTAACACATCACTTTTTAGAGTGTAATGACCAAACGATACGCTGACCGTATGTCATCCATACATGAATGCTCTCTGTTATTTATTGTTAAATATGTTACACATATGTCTATAAATGGTGATATATGTCCAAAACAAGACCCATATTTGAAAAATGGCCAGTTTTAGATAAGTTGGCATATGACATGTTTGTTGGATATGAGGGAAATCCATATATGCTAATATTTATCATATATTTGAAATGTATATACTGCCACATATCAGATTTCCATATGGGTAAACTTGATGTCGACTATTGTTGAATGGAACCAGCTGATACACATTTGTATGGTTTTCTCCTGCTTTTTGCGCCAATTATGTAAAGTGGCCCACTATCCTCTTGCTATCTTGGATGTTATTGTTCTCAAATGCTCATCATATCCAAAATTGTTACGAAAGCATTTCGGGAAAGAAACTCCTAATATATATGCAATCACTAGGAATTACATGCATATAATTGCTTTGTGTAGTAGTAGTTACTGTATAAGCAAATGTTTTTTTTTGTTGTTTTTTTTTTTCCAGATACCTACAGTTAACATCATTTGATGAATTAACTAATCATCTTCGGTAAGTCATCTAACGTTTGAACATCTGATGTTAGCAATTGTTTAAAAAAAATAGCTTTTAAATCTTAAACAAAACATATTTTGCTCTCACTGGCACACTGGATCGCTCCACCACGGTGGGCTGTTACGTGTGTCTGAACACATCTGGGCAGTTCTTTCCAGTCAATATGCCAGACCAGGCACATGTCTCTTTGAAAGTGGAGAGGTGTGTACACCTGAAGCTCAAAGCCACACTAAAGTTTTTAAAACATATTTGGAATCACAGGTTAAATCTGTCCTTCCTGTGTGGAGTCTGCATGTTCTCCTTGTGTCTGCGTGGGTTCCCTCCCACAGTCCAAAGACATGCAGTCAGGTGAATGGAGTTGCTAAATTGCCCCTCAGTGCGTGTGTGAGGGTATATGTCTGTCTGTCTGCCCTGTGTTGGGATGGCCATCTGTCCAGGGTGTTTCCTGCCTTCTGCCCAATGACCGCTGAGATAGACTCAAGCACATTCCGCAACCCAGAAGGATAAGCGGCTTAGATACTATGTGTGTGTGTGTGTGTGTGTGTGTGTGTGAGGTAAAATCTGTCAAAAAATCTCATAAATAGTTTGAGGTTAGTTGCTGTGCTTGTGCATACCTACATAGCAAGTGGGGGGGTTTCCACTTTCCCACTTCCTAGCATTGACATGAAAACAATAGAGGCACCATTGTGAAAATTCAGCATTAATATGTACGTATGTTCTTTATTTCTTTAATGTGTTTCTCGTCGACTGTGCAGTAGCTGTATCAGCTAATATTGTAAGAACATATTACCATTGAGAGTAGCTTATTTCTTTAATCATCCTTTTCTGTATGGACATGATAGGGAAATAAAGTTTTTTTTTTTTAATTAATTTTTTTAAAAGAAAATCAAAAATACAGAGATGAGAAAATTGGTGCAATGACATTAAATTGCATTTTATTGAAATATTACAAAGATCTTTCCAAACAAAGACCCAAACGTTGCTTGGAAATTTGAAGTGTGCATTAAAGAAAGCATCTGAATATTTAAAGTGAAGGTCAAACTACAGATTCATGACAATCACACAGCTATGGGGTGAACAGGGAGTGGGCTGTGCAACCCAAAAGAGTAGATTAGCCTCTATGGGTGTCCCTCACTAAAGCTGATATCTGGGACAGGTTAACTGGTGATTCCTCATGTTGTTTCTCTGTTTGCAAAGTGCAGTGTTGTGCCAGCCATGAGTGAAAAATGCTGTGGGATTGTTTTCTTCTAGCGGTATGCTGCTAAAACACACATCAAAAACGTATAGTGCAGAGACTATAATCACTTAATTTGGATGTTTTCTGTGGTTGACTGCAGACTAAGACCACAATTTAGCTTGCTGATTTAAGATCAGGTCATTATTTTGTTGTTTAACACATTAAATATCACATTAAACTAAAAAAATATTTGTGTTGAAGGTCCCTTTAACTCAGTGTTTTACTGTCACAGTTTTCTAGCAGTTTGACTCCCTAGCTCTCCTTCCATCTCTCTCTCTCTCTCTCTCTCTCTCTCTCTCTCTCTCTCTCTCTCTCTCCCTGTCCCTCTCTCTCTCCCTCTCTCTCTTTCTCTCCCTCTCTCTCTCCCTCCCTCCCTCCCTCCCTCTCCCTCTCTCCCTCCCTCCCTCTCCCTCCCTCCTTCTCCCTCTCTCTTCCTCTCCCTCCCCCTTCCACCCCTCCTTCTCCCTCTCTCTCTTTTCCTCTCCCTCTCTCTCCCTCTCTCTCTCCCTCTCCATCCCTCTCTCCCTCTTCATCCCTCCCTCTCTTCCTCTACCTCTGTCTCCCTCCCTCTCAATTCCTCTTTGTCCCTTTCTTACGTAAAATGTGATTTGCTATTATATATTATGTAATAATCTTAATTATGCATTGATGTAAATGAAACATTATTTACATCTACTTTTGTGTTTAAGTACTGTAAAGAGAGGTTTTGCTCTGTAACTTTAAATATCTTTTTAGTCATTCTGTAACAAAGTACAGTCTATCTTTCTTTGCTTATAATAGCAGTTTCTTAAATTTAGGGACCAGGACAGTTTGAAGAAATCATCAGTGGCCTCGATACCCAACTTTGTACTGAATCAGACCCACATCAGCTTTAGATCAGCGTTTCAGTTAGTCAGTTAGCCACTGTAAAGACTGTAGTTTTTTCAGTTCTAATCAGCGAGAAACACTATATGGACAAAAGTATTGGGACACCTACACATCACACCTACAGGAGCTTTTATGACTCCCATTCTAAATACATAGGCATTAATATGGAGCTGGTCCCCCATTGCAGCTCTAACAGCTTCCACTCTTCTGCAAAGCTTCTACAAGATTTTGCAGTTTGTCTGTGGGAATTTCTGCCCATTCGTCCAGAAGAGCATTTGTGAGGCCAGACACTAATGTTGGATGAGAAGGTCTGGCTCACAATCTCCATTACAGTTCATGTGTTTGATGGACTCAGGACTCTGTGAGGGGCAGTCAAGTTCTTCCACACCAAACTCACCCAGTCAGGCCTTTATGGAGCTGCTTTGTGCTCTGGGGCTCAGTCATGCTGGAACAGGAAAGGTTCTTCCCCAAACTGTTCCCACAGAGTTGAAAACTGAAGCATTAAGATTTCCCTTCACTGGAACTAAGGGTTCTAGACCAACCCCTGAAAAACAGCCCCATATCATCATCCCTCCTCCACCAAACTTTACAGCTGGCACAGTGCAGTCAGGCAGGTAACGTTCTCCTGGCATTCGCCAAACCCAGACTCGTCCATCAGACTGACAGATAGAGAAGCTGATTCATCACTCCGCAGAATATGTTTCCACTGCTCCAGAGTCCAGTGGCGGCGCTTTACACCCCTCCAGCCGATGCTTGGCATTGTGCATTTTGATCTTAGGCTTGTGTGCAGCTGCTCGGCCATGGAAACCCATTTTGTGAAGCTTCTAATGCAGAGTTCTTTTGTTGACGAAAGGCACCGTGCGTTTCAGAACTCAATGGTCCCACTCTGTGAGTTTGTGTGGTCAACTGTGTCATAGCTGAGCTGTTGTCACTCCTAGACACTTCCATTTCACAATAATAGAACTTACAGTTGTCTGGGGCAGAACTAGCAGGACAGAAATTTCACAGACTTGTGGCAGAGGTGGCATCCTATGGCAGTGCCATGTTTAAAGTCATTGAGCTCTTCACTATGACCCATTCTACTGACAGTGTTTGTATATGGACACTGCAAGGCTATGTACTTAATTGTATCCACCTGTTAGCAATGGGTGTGGCTGAAACACCTGAACTCAATCATTAGGAGGGGTGTCTCAATACTTTTGTCTGTACTGTGTATGTCCATGAGATTTTTTACAAAAGAGTAAAGCGGCTCTGCTCCAAAAACAAAACATCAAACCAGAGAAATTCTGAAGAATTGAAAGTTGTGTGCAAAAGTTTGGTTTCCCCGTTAAAGTGTGGTGTTGATTTTCTAAGTGTAAATAAGTGTAAACATCCTCTACAGAGAAACCTGTGCACATATTAATGCAAAATTACTGTTTATTTAGTGAATTTAACATACTGGAAAAAATAAAATGTAGAGTGTGCAAAATGTATGGCACATTTTATATTTGTTATATTTTCCAATATGTTAAACTCTCAAAAATTGTGCAGTGAAGTTTACAGAAAAAAATCTAAACATCAGGCACATACCAAGACTAAATGAAACTATCTGTTTGTCTTTTATGGGAAAAGAACCTACCCCTTCTATTAGGCTGGCTACACTGCAGTTTATTTAGAGATAAAAAAAGCAGATAAGTAGGGACATATAACGTCAGTGTGTGCAAAAGCACATGGTTAAGCCTGTGAGAGATTATATAAATTAAGTTTTTTGTACAATTCATGGCCATTAGATGGAGACTGTGCAGCATTTTTTCTCTCTTGTCAACAAGAACAACTTACTGACGTATCTTGGACACACATGATGAGACTTAGTAGGGAAGTTTTTTGGTACAAGTTTAAACCTGCATACGCAGTATAAAACGGACCTGTGTTTAAACTAGGCTTATATTAAACTTGCTAGAGATGCTACTCAGGGCTGCCCTCTTTGCACAGTTCTCATGCTTATGCACTTACTGTCTCTCTCCTACTGTCTTGTTGTGCATATTTATTGTATCATGTTGTGTTTATTGTTGAGTCTTCAGCCAGGTTGTGCTGTGTTGTGTAAAATTGTATTGTAGTCAATATTGTGCTGCACTTGTTTAATTGCATGTGTGAGCAAAGAGTAACACAAGTTAGTGTCCAGTGATGTAAGGAGAATTTTCTGAAGCATACAGAAGTGTTTACATTCATTGTCAACTGAATTGCAGCAGATATTCCTTGATATAAAAAAGGACAATCTTTTCATTTGGGATTTTGATGGGAATTCTCATCAAATGACATGGCCTGTAGCCTCGGCATAATAGCCAGTGTCCCTGTTGGTGAAATAGTCTCTGTGGTAAATGGAAACATCAAGTTGTTGTTTTGCATATAGCTTTACAAAGATAAGGGCAGTACCAAACTAACCTGTTTCAGCAAAGCTTCTCTGTGAACTTCAGTCACTCTAACTCAGACATACTTTTAGTTGATGAAAACAACACTATTCAAGATAAAGAATGGACTTTTTCTATAATACTTACAAGGTCAAGAGAGCAAGAAATAAAAAGCTGTTTTTAAACACATTAATAGTGTGCAATGTACACAGTACACAGTATAGTGAATGTACTCTGTGTTTTGTATATTGACATAGTTTTTTTTGTTTTTTTTGTTTTTACTTTTGGTTTTGACTTTTCCTTCAAATACACTTCTGCTCAAAAGGTTGAGGTCACTGATTTCATTCATAAGAAATCTATTTTTTTGAAGATTTCAGTCTACACTATGAGTTGTTACTGAATAACAATTATTATTATGACAAGTGACCCCAAGCTTTTGAGTGATACTGTATAGGCAGTTTAACTGCAAGCATACATGGATTTGTGAGATCCTGCTAGTGTGGGTT